GATCAGCGGATTTAACTTTTCGCCCAAAATCCGCCTGTAGGGGGACACGCCCGACCTAATCCTCTCCAAGATGCTCCCAAGAGTCCCCCGGAGGCTCCCGCAGGGGCCCCGGTCGGGAGCCTTGAGGAAGGGGGGTCAATGCAGACGGTGGTCAGCCAGAGTCAGCCAGAGCGCCCGATCTTGCAGGACCCAGACCCCCTCGAGCAATGAAAAAATCACGATGGGAGTTTTTGTTCACTATTTTCGCCCCCTCGGGGCCCTTACCGGGCCTCGGGACCGTCAAAAAAGGATTCGGGATGAAAAACCGGTCCCGGGGAATATGTCGAAAGTTCTGGGGGTCGACGTCACGAAAAGAACATGACGGGGGCTTGGGGATCCTGCAGGGCCAGGGTCGCGGGCGCAGGATCCTGCAGGATGTTGCAGGATCCTTCGCATTTGCCCGGGTTTGGGTGCAGGATTTTGCAGGGTCTTTCAGGATTCTGCAAGGCCTGACTGACCCGGGTCTGGATTGACCCGGGTCAGAAGATCCCCGAGGGATGCCCTCGAGGAGCCAAGAACGTCTAAAGGTGTCTCTCTGCTCGGTGGCGGGTCTTGTAGTCCGAGCAGTGTCCGAGTGCTTCAACAGCTGGCGACACTCCTGCACGTGTGATCCGCAAAGTCATGAAGGTAGGCATGCCAATGTGGACGGTTTCAGGACGAGCGCGGTGCTAACGTCAAGATGAAGAATCTTCGCTTAGCGAGCTGGATCGGCGGCGGAGGCGACGACGAGAACAACCGCTGGGCTCAGGGAGCCGTCCAAGGCGACGCGCGCACCTCCTCGCCGCTGGGAGTTTGGGAGGTCGGGGGCGCCCCTGGACATGCGCCAGGGGTGGCTTCGTCAGCCCAGCGATTGTGGCTGTCTCTCCTCCTCGGCGGCGGGGCCATAGGGGGGGAGTGAGAGGGCGCAGGCAGGCCTCCTCAGAAGGCGGGGGGGGCTTCGCTCGCCGCCCGCGTCTCCGGAGGGGACGCCTCGAGGGAGGCGCGAGGGCGGCTTCCGGGCAGCCCCGCCCCGCCTTCGAGGAGGCCTGCCCCCTCGCGCTTCCCCCCTGCGGCTCGCCGCCGAGCTTCGATCTTCCCTCCCGCGGCGCCGGCGACGGCGGCGGCGCTCGCTCGAGCGGCGGCGGCGGCGGCCAGGCCAGGCGGCGCCCTGGGGCGGCGGCGGCGGCGGGGAGCCCGCCGGCGGCCGCGGCGAGGCTGCTGGGTCGCCGCCGTTGCCGGCGTCGTCGTCGTCGTCGTCGTGGCCGTCGTCGTCGTCGTCTGTCTCGCCGTCGCCGTCGCCGTCGCCGCTGGCGTCGTTGCCGTCGCTGCTGTCGCCGCCCCGCCGTCTGCAGAAGAAGAATGCTCGCAGTTCGCAGGTTGATCGACCTCCTGCCCTGACTCGTCGATGAGCGAATTGGCCGTTCTCGGTTCGCGAGAGGGCGTCGCGGCCGTCATTATTGCGGGTCTAGGTCCGTCGGTTTCGGTCCTAGGCCGTTTTCATTCAAGGGCGGTTTGCCAAAGGGAGGCTTGTCCACCGCCGAGTAGTGCTAGACTGCGTGAACGTGCTAGATTTGTCTAAAGCCCCGCGCGGATGTCGTGGAGCTGGGCTGGGCTCCCCTGTCGGCGCCTCGGGAGTCGCCCTTGGCAGCTCCTGCGGGGAGGGGGGGGCTTCCAACGCCGACCCACTCAATTCGCGCGGACCTCCGAAAGACTGGTACGTACGCTTATGCAGCGTTTCCTTCTTCTAGTGTCGCCGTCGCCGTTGGTATCGTGGCCGTCGCCGTCGCTGTCCTCGTGAGCGTCGCCATCGCCTTCGTCGTCGCCGTCGTCTTTCTCGTCGTTCCCCAGCTCGTCTTCGTCTTGGTGGGCATGTTTTTTTCTGCTGGGGGAAGATATCGACGGACTCTGGCTGTTTCGGGATGGCTTCCGCTGGTCTGCAAGGTCTGGGATAACGGTGCCTCCCCTCCCTCCCTCCCTCCCTCTCTCCCTCCCTCCCTCTTGTGAGGGCGACATGACCTGTGCTGTCTTGGGCGTCGCCTTGGGGCCATCTTGGGCATCTTGGGCACCTCGCCCGTCCTGGGGCCACCTCGGGACCCCCTTTGTGGGCCGTCCTGGGGCCGTCTCGGGCCTCCTGGACTCCGGAGCTGCTCCCGGGGCCCCACGCCGGCCCGGAGACCTCATCGGGCAAAGAGGGGGGGGGGCCTTCCGGCCCCGGGCCCCCCTCTGGCAGCACCCCACCGCCCCCCCCCGCGGCCGGGCAGGCCTCCATAGGCGAAGGGGCTGGCCCCTCCGACTCGAGCACGGCTCAAACGACGCGAAGATCGGGACAAAATCGAATCGGGATAGCTCGAAATCTCTGAGAATCGGCGGGTTTGGAGGATGTAATTATTGGGCGCCGCGGCCGCTCCAGAGCGTTCCGGAACGCTCTGAGAGCGCTTCGGAACGCTCTGGAGCGATTTATCCCGATCCTAGCCCTGTTTTAACGGCCTGGCTCGGCTTACTCGAAGAAGAGACGGCATACAGTGGGTGGGGGCCCATGCTCGGCACGAACGACATGGGCACAGAAAGAACGGGTACAACGCCCAACAGCGGATCGGGTTCATTCTGAACAGGACTCGCTGTCCACGCCGCCGCGGCCTGTGTCCATTTGAGATACACGGCCGCCTGCCCAACAGTGGCCGCTGTTAGTTTGGGACAGCATTTGTTGTTGGGCATTGTACCCATTCTTTCCGTGCCCATTTCGGGCGTCCAAACATGCCAGGGAACACCCTGCTTGCCTCCAGGGTGCCCTGGGTTTCTTGGGTTTCGGGTTTTTTTGCGACGGAAGGCGCGGCGTTCCCGCACCAAGCATCCGTGGACGTCCTGGGGTCTCAGGGTTTGGCATATTGTGGAAGGTTTCTTGCTGACGATATAAAAAACAAACTTTTGGCGCTCCGCGCGGATTTCTTGGATCCGCGCTGGGCGTTCCCGGTGGCGCCTCTGGCGGTGCCCCTGGCGCGCTCCGCGCGCCAGGCAGGGGGGGGTCCAGCGCAGATACAAGAAATCTGCGCGGAGCGCCAAAAGTTCATGGTTATGCAGTTGTTGTTGCTTCTTTTTTCCTGAGGTTGACGAGCTTTGAGGGCCGAAGGTGGCCGCTGCGGAGGGAGAAGAGGCTTGGACTCCAAGGAGCGTCGCCCAGGACCACCCCGTGACGACCAGCCCAGCCCAGCCCGCCGACAGAGTCGGCGGATTTCTTCAGGATTCTGGGCTCCTGATGCTTCGTATGGAGTCGGACACGTCCCTCTACAGGAGGAATATTCAAACATATTAGACAAAAAATAGTTTGGGGCCGATAGTTAGAGTATTTTTCTAATTTTGGCATTTTTTGATGATTTTTATTTTTCCTCCATAACTCTTCCTGTAGGAGGACACGCCCGACCAAGCTTCGTGGGAGCTGTCTCAGACCATCTTCATCCTCGGCGGCTTTGGGGCCACGGTCGGACCGAGGCACGATAAGGTCGAGGTCGGCTCGGGGAGGGTACCCTCGAATGTTCTTCGCGCTCGTTGTTGTTGGATGCTCCTGTGCATCCCTGGGGGAGAGCACCCTCGAATGTTCTTTCGTTTGGCTGGCGCACGGTCCCCTGTTCTTGATCGGGAGTCTTGAGACGGGGGTCAATGCAAACGGGGGTCAGCCAGAGCGCTCGATCTTGCAGGATCCTGCACGAACAGGGTTGCACTGACCCGAGTTTGGGTGCAGGACCCTGCAGGAGCTTGCAAGATCCGTCGCATGGACCCGGGTGATGGGTGCAGGATCTTGCAGGATTCTGCAGGGCCTGGCTGGCGCAGGCCTGGAATGACCCAGGTCAGAAGCTCCCCGATGTGAAGGCTGTTCTGCTGTCACTGGTCCGGCTGCACCTCGGGTTTCCTTTTGTTGGGGGGCTTTCTTTGGAGCATCCTGGGCGCCCCACCCGTCCTCCCGGGCCGCTCTCCCCTGGAGGCCCGGGTGGCCCGAGGGCCCGGAGGGCCTCGCCCCTGGGAGCAGGACCACCTGCGAGGGGGCCCTCTGCGCGGGTCCCGAGGGCCCTCGCCAGGGGCCCCTGGGGGCCGCCTCGCGCACGCGGGCCGGCAACCGTGCAAATATCGTGAACGTTTGCCAGAGATTCCATGCCTCCGACCCCTGGGAGAGGGGCATCGCGGCAATAGAGGAGGAGGAGGAGGAGGAGGAGGAGGAGGAGGAGGAGGAGGAGGAGGAGTTGGAGGAGGAGGAGGAGGGGGAGGAGGAGGAGGAAGAGGAGGAAAAGGATGGAGGCAGTCTCCATTCTGGCTCAAGACTGCTTCCATCTCCGTCCACCGAATCTCCGCCAGAGGCGAGCAGACTGTCGTTCGTGATGGCGGGTGTGCCTCTCGCGATGTGCGGTGCCGCGCTGGTCTCGCAGATCGGTGCCGTGGCCGCCGTGCAGAAGGTCCACGAGACGGGCCACGAGAGGGGCCACGGTCAAGACAAGGCCAGCATGTTCGGGCATGGCAAGAGCGTCGTCGCTTCCATCGGGGTGTTGCCAGGCGTGTCTCTGTCCCAAGGGTCGGAGGAGGGCCCCTCGAGGCAACGGCAGGTGGCCTCTGGCGGGTCCCCTCGCCGCGACGGCCGGACGCAGCACGGAGAGTGCTTGTGTTTGCACCTTGGGGAGGGGTCCCGGGATTGGTTTTGAGCTGCCGCTGTCTCAACTCTCAGCGAGCGAAGAACGGTATAACATAAACTTTTTCGCCGTCGGGGACACCTGCCCCTGGGCGGCTGGAAACCCCTACGGTGCCACCGTAAGGGTGTAAACTTTCCGGCCGCCCTGGGGCAGGTGTCCCCGACGGCGAAAAAGTTTATGTTATACCGTTCTTCGCCCGTTAAAACTCGCCCTGCTCCGGCAGGTGCCAGAATGTTGCGAAAGGCCGGGGGCACATTAGGCCAGGGACACCTTTGGCAACCCCCGCTCCATCTCAAACCACACCGGCCGCCAGACGCCCGAGGAGCTGGGCTTCACAAGCGATGGCGACGTCGATCCAGCCCAGCAGCAGGTGTCGATGATGAGTGAGGAGCACTGCCTCGACCTCGGAGCCAAAGGATTCCCGCTGCCCGTATTCAAGATGCTCCATGCAGTAGACTGGAGCGCCCAGAAGTACCTCGAGCAGATCCAGAGCGTGGGGTACGTCGAGGACGCCCTGCAGATGACGGGCCCGGCGGACGCCATCATGAAGGCCGACTGCATGAAGGAAGGCAAGGGCAGGCTGAAGCACATCTTCGTGGGCGACTCCCAGATGCTGTCCCTCCGCAACGCGCTCCACCGCCTGAACAAGTGCCCCGAGATCTGGTGGGACGCCAACGCCACGGACGCCCGCCCGGGCCGCAAGGCGGCGGCCGCCTCCGTCGGCCGCCGGCACTCCGGCACGCGGCAGGCCCCCGAGAGCGCCGTGGATGGCTGCGGCGAGGACGCAGGGGCAACTTTGGGGGGGGGGGGTTGGGCTCGGGCTGGGGAGGGAATTCGAGGAACGAGCAATGGCACGAGCGTACAAGCTCGGAGGTCCGCGCGGGTTTCTCGGATCGGCGCCAGGGGCCCCCTGGCGGCGCCCCTGGCGCGCGCTCCGCGCGCCAGGGAGGGGGGTCCAGCGCGGATCCGAGAAATCCGCGCGGACCTCCGAGCTTTTATGTTCATGCCCCAATCAGTGCTTGCACTGAAGGGGTCCCTGTGGAAATTGAATGATTTGGCGAACGTTCCCGGGTTTCGGTCCTGGGCTCCCGGGTTCCCGGTCCTTGGCTCTGGGCCGAGCTCGGTGGGTTCCGGGTTCCCGGGTTCCCGGTCGATCTCCTTACCGATCAAACTATCCACTAATTGGGATTGTCCTTTGGCGCAGTGTCGGGGTCTTCGATCCCCCAGGAATGCGTCGGCCCCCGATCGCCCGCTCCTCGCCCGACGGCCCAACCGGCCCAGAGCCCGTGCAGCGCCTGTGGGGGCCCCGGTGCGGCTTCGCGGTCGGGGGCCTCTCGCCGATCTGTCGGCCATGGACTGCCGACTCCAGGTCGAGGGTTCCTCCCCCTCCAGGCGATCGCAAAAGTGGATCAGGGGGGCGTGGAGTGGTGACGGATCCCGTTTCCATGGGGGACCGCGGATCGCCGCCGCCGAGCGGGGCGGCACCGGCCGCATTTTGGGGTTGGTGCCTCCCCCGATCCATGGATTTGGCGACCGCGCGCGAGATCCATGGATCGCTGATCCCATGTTTGCGCGCCCCCGACCCCTGAGCTGGTCCCCCCTTAACGTTGCCCCTGAAGGAGGGTATCGCATCGTACATCTACTGGGACGCTTGGGTCCGGAGGGACGTCCCTGTGGAGGATATCCGGCGTGAGATCGAGGTCCTTGACCTGGAGCCGAAGCGGGGCGACACCGTGGTCGTGTGGGTGGGCTCGAACTTCATCAGCGCTGCGCGCCGCACGGGCGTCCTCTTCGACACGATCGACAAGATGCACGAGATGGGTGTGCATCTCGTGTGGGACTCGCCGACTTTCCACGACATCGCCCTCATGGCCGCAGGGTCTCCTCGCGATGAGGGTCGCGACCCAACAAACTCGTTGCCCATCTCGTACTCCACCATGAGCAGGAGGAAGACGCAGGGCACACTGGGCTCCAACCAGTTCAAGTCCGAGAAGGCCCTGCTCAAGTCGGGGGTCGAGATCCCGATGACGAAGCGCTGGCAGCTGACGAATCGCTACCGTGGTCTCCAGTGCGACGGGATGCACACGGACATGCGTGCCAGGGACCCGCTGTTCTACAACGAGGAGTGCCCGCGGGGCAGGCAGCTGTACGGCGTGAGCGGCAGCGGCTGCAACTGGGTGGAGCCCTTCCGGGCCGGCCTGGAAGACCTGTGCCCGCTGGCCACGGGCGTCGACGACCTCGTGCTCCAGAGCGGCCTCTACGCCGTGTGCGCCGCCCACGAGCGCCCGTTCTGCTACCAGCACACCGAGGCGATCCGCTGAGCGCGGCGGCGCGCAGCCTCGGGGGCGTGGTCGGCGGCCCCGAGGGGGACAGAGTCCGAAGCACGCTCGCGGCACGCCAGCCCATGCTCGGCGGCGAGGCGAGGGAGGGGGGGGCGCTCTCAGAAGGCGGCGGGGCCTCCCAGGAAGCCCTCGCGCGCGCCCTCCGAGCAGCTCGTGCTGTGCCTCCGGGGGAGGCTCGGGAAGCTGCCCAGACCCCCGACGCCATGATTTTTTCTTCGTGACGCCGACCCCAAAAGGTTTCGACCTCTTCCCCAGGGCCGGTATTTGGTCCCGAGCCTTTTTTGGACGGCCCCGAGGAACGGTGAGGGCCCCCCGAGGCGGAACATCGAGCGAAAAACCTCCCGTCATGATTTCTTCATTTTATTCTCGAGGGGGTCTGGGTTTTCTCAGCCTTCTGAGAAGGCCCGCCCTTTCTTGCTGCCCCACCCGGGTGGAGGGTTTCTCCGAAGGGCTTAGGCGACCCCTCC